ACCAAGGACAAAAATACTTAACTTCAGTATTTGAAAAATAAGAAAAGAACTTAGACATCGCAATTGAGTTCGATTTCGTATAAGGTTAAGTGTATTCAAAAGTAGCGCATTACCATTATTACACTTAGAGCGTGATGTCAATCCATATGATTATGGGTGTTAACTTTTAGTGTAAGGTGAAGTGTACACGAGACGAATAATTGAATGGGTTGAGCTGTAGCGATCGTAGTAAGATTTCGCTTACGTTGGATTATGCCAACAATTACTTTCTCAGATCTCATTGATAAGTCAGGCCTCCATATCGTCATGATGACAAATTTAGTTTCACTCAGATAGAATAAGAAAAGTATGGTAAGCAGGATGTTAAATATATTTATTGAGAAATAATAACAAGCAAATGTCTTTACGCAGTGTTTGTCGTAATTATTTCGGCGATGTCGAATTGCTGTGAGCAGGTTGAATGATGTTACCGGATATCTGCAAATAAGTGAATAAAGTGTATTTTTTAAGTCGCTGAAGTTATAAAGAAGTAATATAAAAGTTAAACGCTTTATATTTGCCTACCTTTGGTGAAAAAGGTTCATTCTCCTTTCTCATTCTTCGGTCATGACAGCATTCTTCTGTGGCTTTCACTGTCACACACATTTTTCATGCAAAGTATAGCACCAAGCAAATAATAATAATAATTTAATATGTCGTATAAACGAGTGTTTGCAAAGAATGCATGTCATTTCTACAGGTGCAATAAGTTATGTTATAAACTGCAATCGTGAAGTATTATAAATTAATACTTTTCCAAATGTTTAAGTTGTTCAATTATTGTACGAGAAATTAGAACAGGTTATGATAAGTGTTCAACTGTAAACCCTTCACAATGAACACTGTATATTTGGGTAAGTGCTATGCCCTCACGTAATTAAAAGCTATTTCAGGAGGAGGACAACGTCCTGAGAAACTGAGAAATGGCATAAAATACAATTAACGATATTTTTTTATTACAGCTTGATTCCACAACGTATTTGTTGGTACAGGTATGGAATTTTCAGCATGTGATATCAGTATTAATATATGTGTAAAACTTCGGCACTGTGGTAGTAAGTAATTCCATATTAGTTTGTTTATTAGATGTATCACACAGTGAAACAGTATTATTTACTGGATGACACAGTTTCGAACAAAATTTATTGTTCTTAATCATATCAATTGTAATCACTCGACTTTGAGATTTGAGTTTTATAGTTTTCTTTGTCCTCTCCTATTTGTCGTAGGGGTGGTAGAATTTTCCAGATGTCAGGGACAGGTGATGAGTCATGATGAGTTATGACTCATCATGACAAATAGGAGAAAACAAAGAAAACTATAAAACTCAAGTCTCAAAGTCGAGTGATTACAATTGATATGATTATGAACAATAAATTTTGTTCGAAACTGTGTCATCCAGTAAATAATACTGTTTCACTGTGTGATATATCTAATAAACAAACTAATATGTGGTATCAGTAGCCCAAATTTTGCAGGCCGACCATAGAAATGAGGTGTGCGTCGGCAGGGGGTCGAACCCCAGACCATATGCATGGTCCTGACATGTAAGACCTCTCACAAATTTCTGTAGGGCCTATGGGGTAGCATTGACGTTTTGGCGTCATTTTGAACTTTGGAAAGATCATTTACAAATGTAATAGGTAATAATCATCGAAACTGTAGCAATATTTTCTAGCTATTCGGAATTTTTTCCTTTGATGTAGTTTCACATCAGCAGTTTGCAGTATTCATAGTGAGTTTATAGGAAACTTTATTCTATCTTCATTTTTATCAGCTGTCCCTTCAAGCACAATAGCATGCAGTAACTACATACACTGAAGCATTGTAACCTGAAAATCAAAAAATCCCTACAGATAATTTGTTTAATAATAAATGCTTTAAAGATATGCGCCATAGATATAATGACCAGGAAACTCAACAGCCTGTCTCATTCATCGCATGATCTCTTCGATGTGTTATGGAATATTTCAGTCATCACGAATGATAACAGAAGTATTTAACATCCTCAAAACATACATTTAACTTATGTCTATGGGCTATTCAGAAGGAGGACAACGTCCTGAGAAACTGCGAAGCCACCTTGTAACCAGGAGGTCCTAGGTTCGAACCCCCTGTGGTGGGTGTGTGCTGCTGAAGAGTCCCAAACTAGGCTGACGAAACATCTGGATGTCCAGTACTCCCAGAGGGTTTTCCAGTGGTTCTCTAACCAACAGGTGTCAGCTCATGATGAAATCCTGTAACGAATCAATCATTTCCCTACAAACCAATACTTAAAATAAAGAATGCTTCTTCCGCTGATGAATGTTGTTTCACTAAACTAGAAGTGGTGAAGTACTTTTAACTCATGCAGATGATATTGCTGTAGTGTTGTGTTCTCTTGGCTGTTTGTTTTAAATTTGCGGGAGTCACCATCGCTATTTTTATTTCTGAAGTCAAAAAGCACATTGATATAATAAAATGGCTCTCTGGAGTGTAAATTCTTGGGCGACTGGATTTCAATACCCATCCCCCTCGAGTGGTTGAATGGTCGACGGGTTAATATTAAATTATAGTCCAAAGGCACGAGGGAAAGGTCATGGACAGAGATATACTACTGAAGAGTCCCAAATTAGGACAAAACAGGCATTCAGTACTATCTGGTTTAATAGTAATTCCCTCTAAATGATGTCGGTTTTTGAGGCAACACTGATATAGATCATTTTTATCAAAATAATGCAAAGCAGTGTACATGAACAAAAGGTCAAAATATATTTGAATTTAGCACAAAAGTGCATTGTTCAAATTGCCATAAATCAACAAAAGTTCACATAAAACCGGGCAGAAGGAATATAATCAAATGTGCGTCGGTGGCACAGTGGTTAGGACTCTCGCCGACCATGCACATGGTCCGAGGTTCGATCCGCTGCCGACGCACACCTGATATCTATGCTCGGCCTGCAAAATTTGGGATACCGATATCCATGCTGAAAATTCCATACTTGTACCAAAAATACAGTGTGGAATCAAGCTGTAATCAAAAATAAAAATATTTCTCTTTCAAATGCCCGATTCTCATAGAATAACTGGGATGACGACAACCATTGTCTGTAGTCAATTTACAACCAAAAGATCTAAAACAACTCTCAAACAACAAAGCCTCGGGCTCTGAAACACAAATAACAGTCTTTCTATGCAAACTTCTTAAAAGTGATGACTTTTTTTAGTAATAATTGGTCTGGGCTATCAAGACAATTTTACTACTACGAACAAAATACGGCAAAATATTGCTTTTTTTTCGGCTACAGAAGCCTAAAACTAGTCAAACATAATCTATTTTCACAAAACAGCGATTATAACGTCTCTATAGGCGTGAACGGGATAACCCATACACTGCGCAAAAATCCATCATGACAATGTTTAGCCTCACCCAAGGCAGTATCTGCGGTAATTCAATTAAAACTCTGTCAATAATTTAATCAATCGATTCAAACTTTCGATATCCTATGGATAATTTATTCATTTCTGTTAGTATACTACAAACCACTTGAAAGTAGAAGGATAATTGAACCTTTTATATCAACATTCTGTTTAAAGTGGAGAAAAGATATAAATAAAAATAGGAAATTGAAAATGAATTACTTATCCATAATGCAAATACTATCTGAGGATAACGTGAAATCACTATCACCTGTACAGTCAGATAATATAAGTCTGCGCGAAGATGAAAACCGGTTGAGACGAAAAAACATTATTTTCTAAGTAGATTTTTGATGATTACATTGTCCATTGTATCGATTATTTCATGTCTGTTCACAATGTTCAGTAAAAATTTCCTGAAATTCAATATTTTCGAATCATCCAGATTTTGTAACAAAACTCAATTAGATTGTATTGAAACCACTCGTACATACCATTTCTCATTATCAGATCATGAAAATGGATTGATGGTTTTAGAGGACTTCATTAACAATGGAACAAATCTATTAAATTCAGCGGAGCTTCGAAATACTTCAATACATACAGGTAATTTTGGTGCATAATTCGTCTTTATCATTACTAACGTTTCTTTGGGTTCCAAGCGGAAAGTAGGATATAACAGCACACCTCCACTTTGTTGTATTCTCTGCAGTCCTCTTCAGCTGTTATTTACTCCTCTTCGACCTTCCTCATCTCACCCTCAGATAAATGCCCAGCTATTCATTTCTCATTCGGATTCCAATCAAGCAATTGCCTGGCGCACGATGTCATCCGATGGTCTCTTCAGCATGTGTCTCATCCATCTCCATTTTGTTCTACCTATGTGTTGAGCGATAGGCTCTTGGTTAATTTGGTGGCAGAGTTTCTTGTTGCTAATTTGTTCTGGTCATTTGACCTTTAGCATGGAGCCAGTGAAAGCAGCTGATGATAAAAGTCTTCACTGGTCTGTTGGGAATGCTTTTCGTGACGCGTGAGCCACGTTTCTGACCCATATAGAACAGGCGACTAACTTAACATTGGTGTTGAAAATCCCACTTTCATTCTTTACGGTGAGCACATCAGATTTGCAAAATGATTCTGATTTTGACATTCTTATCTGTTCATCCTATAGTTAAAATGATATTCTGTAGACAAAGGGGGAAGGTGAACTCCTTCATATCTGTTCCGTTGACACTGATTGTTAAGAGAGTAATATGTGAGAGTGAATTTTATACATTTTCAATTTTTAATTAGTGAATCTCTTCATTTCTGAATATGTTAATCCGCAGATATTGAACCATGGCAAGATTGTTATTCAAATTCTTTTCGGTTGATTTTTATCCATGTTAATTCCAGTGTCGTGCATATCATAAAGCTTATAACTACTAATGGCTGGTATTCTAGAATACTGGATGCTTAGTGAAAACTTAACAATTGTATTTTGTAATAATTCGCCTATATTCTGCTTCATTCAAGTGTTTGAAGCAAAAGATTTCATCTGTTTGTTCTTAACAGCTGCATTTTCAAATGTCTAAGTGAAATAAAAAAAGAATGTGTATGGACTACAGCCTCTCAATAGAGTGACATATATTTGTAAAAATCTTGCACAAAAGTGCATTAGTTGAAGTTTTTACACTTTTTTAAAGCATACATGAGCTAATTATAGTTTCACCTTATGAACAAGATCCATTCTGTGCTTATTAATGTTGTTCATAAATCTTCTTGTAGATTTTTAAATTTGATAGTAAAAGCGTGTCTGAAAATTTCCACTGACTTTTTCAGGAGGTTCGTAAGTGACCTCCAGTCGCCATTATCAGATTTGACAGTTGCCATAGAGTTGTCTTTTGATAGATATTTTTGAAGCTAGTACTTTTGATTTCGTCAAATCTAGTTTCCTTGTGGTTTTGGTCTCAGTACGTGTACACACAGTGTTATGAGTTAGTTATTAGTGATAGTAAGCAATAACTTAATGGTACTTCTGTGCTAGGAATGACATTCCCAGGTTTTATGTGAGTTAATGCCAAGCTGATGTTTGGTCCTTAGTCACGCCTAAGCCTCTTTTACAGGAACTAAGTATCGTTGGATTTGAAATGTCATTTTCAGCCGTTTTCTTTGCTAAAGGATACTTCTCTTTCGTTACCTTCACGAAATTTTCAAACTGTGAATTTATGAATATCTGACTAAAGATTTTCTTCATCTTTACAACAAATTTTCGTTAAATGAATAATAAGACAAACATCCTGGTGTGACGAAGATTTGCACCAATGAACATTAACAGCACACGTTCGACCCCCTTATACACATTGGAAAATCTGTGAGTCACTTTTGTTGCAGCTTGTTCTTGTTGTTTCACTGAACAAGATCTTTGAGTAATATTTTCAAAATTACTTAAATCAATTCAGACGATTATACGGCACATTCCTCTTTTGAAAGTGGTGGCTCCACTTAAAAAAAGAAGATGTAATATAATCGCCCCAGCCGAGATATTTATTTTAAATATGAACTGTCAATGATCTGAGTCCTATTTTGTATTTATCTGTATGCAAGACTAAATGTCTAGCCCCAGGTAATTCAAATGTCCAGTTTACAAGCCATTGATCAAATGATTTGTGTTCTTAACATCAACGAACTAATTATTATTTATTTATTGTCTTTTAGTGGGAAAATTAAAAGATCTATGGGCAAACTTGAAAATGATATGGCCACTAGATGCGTTTACTTCAGTTTATGCTGGCTTCCTAGTATGCACGAAGCACTTTAAAATAACAGGTCAAGACACAATAATTTTACTCACTTTGATTGTCATTCTTATAGGAAACGGTAGGTGGTATCTGCCTAGATGTTGTTATCTGAAAAAACATTGAAAAGTTAATTTATTATTGATAGTATTAATATTGTAAATGGAAATATGTATTTTTCTGATGGGAACTTTTTATTCATTGATGTAGCATATTTATTTGAAACAATTGACGTTTTGTGTGATTACTTTTCCGCACATAATTATTTAAGCGATTTATTGCTTCTATGCACTGGCAATGTCAGACTCACATTTAAAGGCGATTGCTTCCATCAAGTTGATAGTGTTACTATGGGAAGTATATTAAGGCGCCCCCGCTAGCAGATATCTATATGTCGTACATTGAGAGTTAATCGGAAGATTCAACTGAAAATGTACCACTTTGTAATCATATGAGATAAGCCTTGTTCTGTCACTGGAATTTTTAATCAAGTGAATAAATTTCGAAATAGCATATCACTTACGTCTGTAGAAGAGAAAGATAGTTGTTTATCTTTCCTAGATATATTGCTTAGTCGACGGCCTAATTGGTCAATAAAACGACCTGTTTATAGAAAACCCACCACAGCTTCTCTCCTATTCGAGGCAAAAGATCCATTATTGTCTGTCTGTCTATTTCCGACATAGAACTTTGCACCAATGTGCGGGAGTTCAAGTCCCCACACTCTCTCCTTGTAGCACACAAATCAAGAGAAGAAAGTAGAAGAAATGCATATTACAGATAGTAAACAGAGGTGTGAGACAAAGGAATAGTAATAACGAAGAACAAAACAGTTTTATTGGAAATCATAATTCACAGGCGATGACTAGGCATACGTAACACATGTCCTAACCATCTCAGTCTACGTAACTTCACAACCTCATCGATTGATTTCCCCTGCTGACATAGCACTCGACGCCTGACCATAGTATTCCTCACCCTATTATACCGCTTCACACGAGAGATGGAGCGCAGGCACCTATGATCGAAGACAGCTAATCTTTCCATGTCTTCCACTCTCAATGGCCAGGTCTCACAGCCATAAAAGAGGAAGGAGTGGACTGATGAGCAGTACGCTCGCCCTTTGGTAGGTAGCCCTCTGTATCCGTGATGAGATTTCGCCAGAGATCAACCCGTTGGCACTGGATGACGGTACTTCCCAAATAAGTGAAGCGCTCAACCATGTCTACCGCTTCATTCCCTATTTCTAATCTAGGAGTCGGTGTACTCCAGTCCTGTAACATCATCTTGCATTTGGCGGGAGCGAATCGCATGTCAAACATTCGTAGATTGCAGCTCAAGGTGTTCAGAAGACGATGTCTGAATTTTGTCAGCGTCCTCGGCCAGAAGGACTATATCGTCTGTATATTCTAAGTCAACGAAATTATTCCCTGGTGATGGCAAGTCAATCTCTGAGTCGCTGTAGTGAGTTAGGGTTAAGCTGAATAGAAATGGGGATAATGGGCATCCTTGACGGACACCATTAGTCGTCACCACTTCAGATGACAACTCGCCGTAGGCTCTCACTTGGCTGCATGAGTTCGAGTAGAGTGAGTGACTTGATCAGTGCAATGTATTTTCTCGGCATTCCGTTTACAGCCAAGCATCGTCAGAGAACCTCTCGGTCGACAGAATCGAATGACGCCTTTAGGTCAAGGAATATAATGATTGTTGGACGCCGGTAGGAATGTCTATGTTCTAGAATCTGTCGGAGGGTGAAGATGTGATCAATACACCCTCTTCCTGGTCTAAAGCCTGCCTGGCTCTCTCGTGTTTGTGCCTTCCAAGCACCACTTAGTCTATGCATACTTATTGAGCCTAGTACTTTAGATACCACCATATTAGTCAAGCTAATCCCCCTCTGATTATCATAGGGAGACTTGTCTCCTTTCTTGTATATCGGGATGATCAGTGACTTACACCAACCCGATGGGACTTCCTGTGATTCCCAGACTCTGCCTAGTACCTCAGTTAATCCAGACAGTAAGCTGTCTCCACCGTACTTAAATACCTCTGGAGTCATTCCATCAGGTCCCGCTGCTTTGCCTTGTTTCAGATTGGTGACAGCTTTAGTGACCTCAGTTAGGGACGGAGGAGCTGTGTCTATATCCCATTCAGGGAAATTTTGGGTGTTCGGCAGGTCACGCGTGGCTTTAGGACAATTAAGCTGCTCCCCATAGTGCTCTTTCCAGCGTTCCAGTCGTTTATTCTGGGAGCTGATTATGGTGCCATTTTTCTCCGAGATTGTTTCACTTATCATTTGCCTTTTGCCACCTGTTTCCCTGATGAATCTAAATAGTTGTCTGTTGATGCTAATCGCAGATGCCTTTTCCATCCCACTGTTCACGGTCGTTGCGAAGAATTTTCGTTAGTTTTTGCTTGAGTAGCTTTCACTCCTCATCATAATCGGAGCTTGCCGGAATCAGTCTTCTTCTTCAATCAGTTCGGACGAGGCAGTAGAGATCCAATGGCTTTTACTAACTTTAGGTTTTAGCTTATAAATAGCCTTCACAGCTGTGTCTACAGCTAACTGCATGTTGTGCCAGGCTACATCAGGGGAAGTCCTGCTGTCGACCTCAGACACTCGTTTCGCTATTTCTTCCTTAAATAAGGACTCAGTGTCTCGATCTAGTTGGGGACGTAACTGTTTCGCTGCCATCAATTTCTTATGCCCATTTAGTCGTAAGCATAAACGTGCGCGAACCAGAGCGTGATCAGAGTCTACACACGTGTTTCAAAAGGAGCGGCAGTCTTCCACTGACCCTCGCCAACGATACCCTATCGCTATGTAGTCTCTCTGAGTCCAGTGTTGATTTGGTGATGTCTCTTTTTGTGCCTAAAGTTAGTGTTGACTAGAAACAGATGATTATCTGAGCAGAACTGCAGAAGACGATCGCCGTTGTCGGTTCGTCGGCAGGGGACTCCATACGTATCACCTACATACTTCTCAGTCTGGTACAACTTCCCTACTTTGGCATTGAAGTCGCCTGCTAAAACAACTATATCTAAGCGTTTTGCTGTTTGCAGCAAACTAGACAGTTTCAGGCAGAAGTCATATTTTAGCTCATCCGAACTGCAGTCTGTTGGGGCGTAAGCGGAGACTACGAAAAGGCAACGACGGGTTGCACCGTCTTTCCTTCTTTTAACGGACACATTCAGACGGATTGCACACATACGACTTCTACTGGGATTCAGTCAAGAAGTGATTTTTCCGCCCTAACACTCAGTGCTATCCCTACACATGCGAGTCCTCGCGAGCTAGCTGAGGGGTCTCCTGACACCTTAAAGTGAATTTTGCAGACTCACTTTGTTGACCGAGTGAGGTCAAGTGAATGACCACACTCGGGTCTTGTATGCGTGTCCAGAGTTCTTGCTAAAGATGCTTGTTGCCCGATTTGGAAGAGGGTCCTGACGTTACATGCTCATATATGAAGTTGGTGACGTGGCTTTAAAAGGCTGTCTGGGGTGTTTCTATGGCTTTCACCGTTGTTCGTGGTCACAGAGTGAAGTGAAGATGACTCATTAGCCTGCAGAATAGTACTAAGTGTAGTAGAGAAGCAAGATGAGAAAGGTGATGTGAGTGAAGGGGAATAATGCTCAGGAAGGCTTCGTGTGCTTTTGGAAGTGCATGGGCGGTTGTTACTTCCCGGCTGCCCAAACCGTGCAAGTTGGTTGCGTGACCACAGAGCCCAGAGGATAACTGCTTGAGGCCGGTCACACGCGGCCTGGTTTTGTTAGTTCTTTTTTGTTTGGTGTGTCTCAGTAGCATATTTATCACTTCTGCCCTGTGACACGGCAGCAGGAAGCGCGGTCGTTGTTAATCCGGGCCCCAACCGATCCGGCATGATATTTTGTGAATTTGTTTGAATCATGATATTGGATGGGGTAGCTGCTTTTTGTTTAACCGCTATCCAAACAACCTTTCTGGCATGGTAGGACCTCAAGCGACATAAGTCTCAGCCAGTATAGCTTGTTAGGTAGTTGCGGTGTTCAAACCCGACCACCACGTCAAGGTAGCAGCTTTCGGTCGGGATCTACTAGTGAGGTGCCCCTTTCCTAAAATTCAACGAATATGCACAGGGGATACGCTTGAAGCTGAGGAAGCGAAACTGACAGAAACTCTACTTGATAACAGATATCCAGAGCAGGCTCATAAGGAGATATGAAGAGGTCAGACACCAAGATTCATTCTCCAACTAGCAGCCAAGAAAGACGTATATTTGAGGCCACCCTATATGGGTGATCATAGCAGTTTGATAATTAGACAAGTGTTAGATGGTGATGCTAGAAAACGAATTTTTATGCAGCGGAAATCTAAATAATTGAGCATATGAAGCTCATGTATTCATAGAAGTTCTTAGAACACGTGAAAAATAATGTCACTTCTCACACTGTATCTGGCAATTTAAATGTGCGTGTGGTCACATATTCACGGGGAGGACTAATCTGTCTTTGCAAGTAAGGGCGTTAGAGCATATCCCTAGTTGGTTTCAGAAGCAAATGGGAATCCCTGAACCCATTACTGGTGAGAACAGACCATCTAGTTCCGCTGTTGCGAAACATTATAGAGACAGGGTATAAAAATTATGTTTACACATGTTTGGAGAGTATCCCTAAAGTTGTGGAAGGCTTAGCCCCCACCTATACGTGTTCAGAAACAGTTCTTTATCACATTAAACATTCTTTGGTAAACTTCGTTTTGATACCAAAGCAGATGTACTATTACCTCCCTTCTTCGGTTTGGTGATTTCTATTTTCGTTTTGATCTTCAGTCTGGCCTTCTAACTTTGCCTATGTCTATTCTCCCCCTTAAAGCTTCATTATTTTCACATATATTCCCACCACAAGTACGTCTTTGGTTAGACTATTCGCAATGTGTTACGCAAATACACTACACGATCCACATAAATTATGTTTCCTTATCGCTTTGATGAAATTCATAAATGGAAGTAGTTGTTTCAAATTTATTATCATTTAGTAGATATTCAGAAAGATAAGAACAGAAAATGTTGAGTTTCACGAAATGTGTCACTGAACTAAGCCTAATCACACTGTTTTAGCATGTCATTTTCACCCTTGATGTGACTGTTAGAGAACCAGTAGTTACTTAGTATTAAAACAATAGATAAACATGGTCAGTACACCAATAAAATGTAGAAATGGGCCTAAATTTCACACAATCGTTTTAAAATCACTCACAATGTACATAACTGTATACTAAGGACTCTAAATTATGAATTCCATCATTCCGTATGTGCATTCATAACAATATACAGTATTTTCTGGCTAAACAAGATTGCAAACTAGATTACGATGTACATGTAGATTTCTTCTAAAAACTCCTTTGGAATAATTCAATCGACTAATTCAAACACACATTGAGTTACGAGTATAATCCAAAACACAGGATTTGTTTTAAGTAAGATACTATATCAAGCATCTCAAATTTTACGGTGTCTAAGGCGGAACCCCATCAAATTCACAATCCCTGTGCATCAGTAAGAAAAACAAGCAAAGCTGAGTCAAGGGCAGTTCACGGTCGGATTAAACAGTGAACGAATGCATGACGAAGAATATAGGGCTTTGAAAAGACAGTGTGCAACGGACAGGAGTACATAAACGAGGCATATAAAGCAGATACTGTTTAACTATAAGAAGATAGTTGCAATATATCGTCGAATATAATATTAATACATAGAGATAAACTTCAATAACAAGCAACCGTTACGGTTATGGAGTAACGGAATATAAATTTAGACTACTTATTAGTGATAAGTAATATAAAGCTAAATACAAAAGAAAGAGAAGCGAAGGGTTAGGTATGGAAAGAATTACCATGGCGCATAAATGACACCGATAAGTAGTGTTTTCGCAGTTCAAATTGTAAACAAGAAGTAAAATAATCGAGTTGAAAAACTGTCTGTCAACTTAATTTTTAGATTAGAGCGGAACCCAAATGAGTTTCTATTGCTTATGTCATGAAAGGAACAATATCACTCTCGATTTGAATGGCATAAATATATGAAGAATTATTTTCATTAAACTGAATTCAACGTCATGTTGATTAGAAATCCACTAATCTGATGGATTTCAGATTCAGCTTCTCGTTCATAAACATAGAATTCATGTGAATAAACTTTTATGAGTAACCAAAGTAAATTCGTTTTCCAGTATTGCTATTTTTTTACCCCTTCTATCTTCAGCCACTCGGCTTCAAATTCACATTATGATTGAAAGTTATACTGCTGGGCATGGAAACAACCTCACTTCTAGACATTTAAACAGCTTAATTTTACTTCAGGATTTCATCATGAGCTGACATCGGTTTGAGATTGGTTGGAGAATCTGTAAAGAAGTACTGGACAACTGTTTCATTCTCATTTGGGACACTTAATCCATTAATACCAACTACCAGGTAAGGGAACACACGACCCAGGCGAGCTCGTAGACTATCAAGCCACTGGGACCCGCCCTAGTGGTCCATGAAGTATAACTCGTGCCTTATGTAAGAAAAGTATTTAACTGAAGCTTGTAGTTTTCCAAATATTGGTGAGTAGAACGCGACATTCTCAAGCGTTAGTTAGGCGTCTGAAACACACACACACACACACACCTGTTTACTCTACTTTGATCGTCACAAGGGCGAACTACTGCTTTTGAGTTTATGCAGAGCAGACTGACGTACTTATATAAATCTTTTTGCCTTATTCACAGGCATTATACGTGTAGTTGAAACGGATGTCTACTATACTTTATCATTAAAAATAAACCAAATAAAACAGTTGTTGAACTATGAATTCTACAAAAAATCGTTGAACGGGCAGGTACAAAGAACGATTATCTCATGTTTTAGTCCACAAGATGCTCATTTCGGATTGTTGGCGGCCAGTGTATTTCTAACTGTCCTTCAAATTTCATTTGTCATCGACAATCTGGACCAAACGTAAACCAAAAGGAAAACCGAACCACAGCTGATTTAGCTTTTGTAAGCGTTGAATTTTTAAGCAGTTTACTCAGTCAAGTTACCAACTGTTAACATGTTAGTCGATTTCAGGGTAAAATGTTTGTTAATCTATTGTAAATTGTCAGTAATTCATGACTTAATCTCACGTTAAAATTCTTATTTCATCATCAAAATAATATTTTGAGTGTTTTATAGAATGTTTGTTAAAGGCTTACTTACCATAGAGACCTTTATTATTTTATAACATAATGTCTCACCAGAACAAAATAGTTCAATGGCTTAACACTCATCTTTCATCTAATCGGGTTCCGACTGAGATTCCAGGTCTACCTACTTCAAAAGCCTGTGAAACTGGGTACCACCATCACCCCTCTCTCTCTCCCACACATACACACACACACACACCAGTAGCAACACCAAATTACTTGTCTCGTGAACAGAATTGAACAACCAACCCATTGCAAGGCGTTCCACACAGACCCTCAAATCCTATTCACTCACTCATATAACAATCGAAGTCGGTCCACAAACACTAAAGAGAAGAGAGTCCAACCACCTCCCTTCACGAGGAGTTGGTAATTTCAATGCCATGCTCTTTTTAACACGCTTTTTTGATCGTTTACGAAGATTTCTTGTTAAAACATAAAAAAAAATTGATTCATTAGTCATAAACACCTCATCACCAAATCCTCCATCATCATGAACACTTCCACTACATGATCCTGATCCGGTGCAGTCTTTATCATTTAACGACGCCATACTACCCGACCATCGACCCCATACTTCATCAGTACCTGGTATACGTAATGAACTCAACTAACCAGCATCTGGGAGTAGAAGTGTAGATAGATTCTGTGTACTTGTATACGCCAACACCTAAATCATCATCATCATCGTAATAATAATAATAAATAATAACAACAGCAGTAATAACGGTAATAATTTAACATGTGTGTGAAAAAGAGGCAACACAAGGATAAAATTACGACTTTGCAGTCAGTTTATATGAGACTTTCATTCACAAGTGTATTTTAAGCAAACAGTCTGCTGGTTAACCAGTTGAAAAGCTAGGATTTAAACAAAGAGAGCCATGAAATTTAAAAGTTTTATCTATTCACTAGAAACCCGTTACATTGATATTGTGATTATTATTATTATTATTGTTATTCGTTAGTTGTGTTCCTAGTGAAACATAGGGAGCCGTCTATCAGTATAACATTCCCTTCGGACTATGATCTCAGCTATCAATCCAAGTTGGTACAACCACTGCTCACAATTTTCATTTCCACCTAGTATGATCTCCACCCCTCCAGCCCCACCTCCATGTCACCGACGACTCGGAATAACGCCCCACTCACCTTTCCCAATTATTCAAATGTCACTCAAGGGTCTACTAATATTGTGACAAAACCAATACAAATGACGACAAACTGAGCGAGGAAACATTTCTCATTCCAAGTAGTTCTTCGTTATCAGCTCCACAATGATATGAAATGAAAAGAATCGTCAATCTTTCTGCAGACTATTTCCATTCCAAAATAAGCTATTTCAATTAATTTGTCAATTCGACCGAACCGGTATTACCAGCCTATTCAAAACTACAGCAGCCAAAGTACCTATGATTCAGTAGGTAGGTACAGGTCAGTAACAACCACAATTACGACATCATCACACTTCAGAAGATAAAAGCAAGCGTTCAAAAGTGATCACACACTTAACAGAAAACACTAAAGCGTGAAAAACTTACGTCAGAAGACTTCTTCATCCCAAGTAACTGCGACATTTTACAGCACCAGTTGTGCAAATTAAAAGATGGATGCCCGTAGGGGATAAACAATGGAGCTAATACTTCATATAGACATTTTTCTTCGGGACTCCATTCCACGTTGCTAGTTCCTTGTATTGCTTCACCTTTATTATCATCATTGCTATTATTATTATTCATTAAGTCTTGTCCAGCGGTGTGGTTCACCGACTTGCGGACACACCATGAACCACAATATGAGGCGCTTGTTTTTAGAAACAAAGAAAAGAAAGGAAGGAAGGAAGGGAAGGGAAACGTGAATCAAGACCCAGGAGGGATGTTCACCACAACCATCAATAATTAATTACCAGTGTTACTTAGATTATGGCTTACTGTAGGGATAGGCACCAGTTTCAATGTGTCAGGGCTAATGACACTAACACCCGGCTGTCCAAACCACTCTCAGTTGGTGGAGTGCGGACGAGGACCCGTGATCCATTGGTTAGTATTCGATAGCCTAAACCAATGAGCCACAGAGATCCATTGACGAATATTTAAAAAAAAACACAATATATTCACATTCCCCTCAAAAATCACATCCAACTTGTAACTAGGTAACTCTGATACTCAGGTTTCTATAAGATTTATTGCAAAAATGTTCAAATCGTAGGGAAAAACAAGCTAAATAGCACAGAAGGAAATCTATGACAGGAAGCATATGGGAGATTATCAAAATACGACAATCCACAGTCGAGATACGTATACTGACAATACACCAAGAAGAGGGAATTCAAAACACTACTAGTGCCACCTATGCAAATTCGAACAGGAAACCTCTGAAATCTTACGAAAGAATATTAACAATTCGGGAATAGATCTTGCTAAATCAGAATGCAACACACTACGAGTGAGGATAAACTATACCAGCCACCAAAAGTGAAGTCGAGTAAACAACAATCATCTTACACTAGTCATCAACACAGTGTAAGGTTAGCTTCAAGAGTTTCTTGCAGATCCAAGTTATCCACTTCTAATGTCTGGGGTTAAGGTTAACGTTTAGGCTAGGCTTAGTTTCACATAGACATCACGACTGACAGCTGGTCAGCATCACACATCACAATGACCTACGAGCAATAAATAGACCAGCTGGAACTAATTTCCCTGCAGGCCCTACTATATACAAGAAACCTCGTTTGGATAGCACATATACCAAAGGCAGTCACCGTCACTAAGTGTAAGTCGTCTAAATTATGCTGGTGATCTGTGGGCGAAGTCGGACTGCTGGCGAATACGGGTACGGGTATGTAACAGGAGTAAGCTGTTTACTTCAGATGACGAGGAAGCCAAGTGTGCTGTCTCTTCTATCTTCAGTGGAGGGGTGTGGCTTAGAAAAGGTCGCCCTGAAAATTCTACATCCCAGATTACCTGGCCACTCTTAAAACCTTTTTAAGGACACAACTTCAAACAAGCCATATGTGTGTGTAACCGAATTCAAGCAGTCGACCCACGGGTGCTGCGGTCAACCAACACTAATGCTTTATCTCTCTCAGCTACCCCAAGATACGAAATCCAAAAAACAACTCAGCCTTAGCACTGCATATAGTTACACACCACCACAGCGTAGGATGGCAGAAGATAGACATCGATAACTGAAGCCATATTTATCCAGTCATACATGCAGTAAGAATGAATCATCATATCTGAATGAATCAACACCAGTCGCTCATCCGGACATCAAGAAAGTTCTACTATTACCCCTACGAATAATGCGAAGGAAGAGGGAGAATTACAAAACCTGAGAAAATGTAGAGCTACATTTGGTGTTATGATTATGAACAAGAGTAAATTACGACCAAGACATCACTCAAGTGAGTAGTATTCTTCCACAGTGTGTGTGTGTGTGTGGGGGTGTCTATGTACCTGAAAAATCCCTACTAAGCAAGCTAAACTAAGCAATCGATATCACAAGTAATAGTAAACCTACTGAACAGTAAATAACCTAAATAACCCAAGGACGACAATTGTAGGATGCAATTTAAGTCTGTCTGTCTGTTTTCGACATAGAACTTTGCACAAATGTGCGGAAGTTCAAGTCGCCACATTCCGTGTAGCACGCGAAGCAAGAGAAGAAAGTACAAGAAAAGCATAATAGAGACAGTGAGCAGAGGTGTGAGACAAAGGAGTAATAAAGAAATACAAAACAGTTTCATTGAAGATCATAAGTCACAGGGAGTGGATGCATCTGCGCCACTGAGAACGATTTTGAGCCATGTCACCAATTGTTTCCAACCATAGATTTTTACCGTCCTGAGGACCCCAGCCTGGAAGTCTACACATTTCTACGTGGCTTAGACCAACTGTTGTGGATTTCATTGACTGATGCCAAGTTTTTGTTTGACCGCCGCTAGCTTTTTCCAGCCTGACCCTATATCCGCTAACTTAGCTCGTCGAGGGAGGCGATGGTTTGGCAATTTAAGTAAATATGTATTCTCGGCAATTTCTCATCAGGCTTTACAATTACATAATAAAACACTTTTGAACATAATGTGGTTAACAGAATTAAAATTTAGGCATGTGAATTGGGGGGTTAACAATCGAGGTGATCACAACAATAAAAATAATAATATTAACAATATTAACAAGGATAAATTGATTCAAGTGCTCATGTAATCTGGCTAGTCAATTGTCGTGAATGTGCGTACTTCTAGGGGAGTACAGGGGGAAATAACAGTTGTCTCATAACGATTAGACAACATATCAATAATAATAGTAATAATAAATTGGGAAACTAAGACTAAGATATGCAACCATAGCACAACATAATTAGACAACAAAGTTAGTTAGCAGTACAAATTAAGATTATATTTACAGATATCCCGCGACTGTTCTAGGTTGGGCTGAAAACCACAGGAAGGACAGGGATTGAACACAGTTATTCTAAACACAAAGATTAGGATGAAAACTCATTATGGCGACTGACTCAGCTATGCTTAGCAATCGAACCTAGGGAATTCAGGTGACACCTTGTATAGAATTCTAAAGGCTGGATGCTATTTATCAATCTTTTTCTCCATATGCACAGTGGTTAGGACTCTCGCCGACCATGCACATGGTCCGAGGTTCGATCCCCTTCCGACGCACACCTGATATCTATGGTCGGCTTGCGAAATTTGGGCTACCGATATCCATGCTGAAAATTCCATACTTGTACCAAAAATACAGTGTGGAATCAAGCTGTAAATCAGAATAAAAATAAATAAAATAAATAAAAATATGGAGCTCTTGACTAACTTAACAACTACTTTTCCTAACCACGTCTGACACTACTTAAGGTGGCGATGGTGGGTTCTCCGTGTTGTTCTACCTGTGTATCTGTCTCCACAAGATCGGCTACATTTATAAATGTTCGGAAAAAGTATGTTCAATCCCTCTCCTTGTTTTGGCCCTCAACCTCAACCCAGAATAGTTATGTCTTTACGTGACACCGGCTATCTGTAAATATTTGTCTTTATTTGTACTGACAGCTTTATTATGGATATCATACTGTGACGTAGATCAATATTTTGAGCTAAGTTTCACAACTTATTATTATTATTATTATTATTATACTGTCTAATCCCTATGTGACATCAATTACTTACCTCTCTACCCCTACAAAAATATACACATTCTACCTAAATTCCACTTGATTACATTCCATTATATTGATCGACATTGTCTTCAGATGCTTATGATGAATATTTCGATTATGTAACTAACTGTAAAGCCCGATGAGAATTTACTGAAAGTACATATTTCCTTAAATCGTGTTCTGTGGTTATCATAATGGGAAGATTAATTTCTCTTCTTTTAAAAACGTTAAGTGTTTTTTTATTGCTTTCACGGAATAATCATTAGTAATAAAATATTGTATTGAAATTATTATTATGCATTTTACCCGAGACAGATTAACTAGTTTATCAGAAGGAAAGTAAACAAATGACCTAAGAAGTTTTAGTTTTAAATAATGGATTTTTAAGTGCTTTTTGTCTGTTCAATGATGAATGATTAAATGGTTCTGTGTGTTCAGTTAAATAGCGCAGATGTACATGCACAAATATCTTTGAGAAAGAGGAAATTAATCTAAGGTTTTACAATATTACTACCACTATGATGTTACATTTCAAAAGAGGTCAATTTTTTATGATAGTGATAGAAGACACATTCATCCTACAATATTTCATGTTTTCTATGTAAAAACCACTGGTTTGTGTGTAAGAAAAGTACAGAATATCACCTCTAAATCCATTTTATCACATGATCCAGTGGTATGTAAGAACCATTTCACTTTCAGTTAAAGACGGCAGTTGTATGTTAAAAATCAAAATCATATTTAATAACAATTTACTGAATATAAGTTGTTTTAGATTAACCATTACGGTAAGCTCCCTTTTTTAAGCAATCAAAACATTGATAAGCATTGCTGCTAACTAAGTGTTAGCATCAAAGGCGTTATAATTCCACATACAGAACTTTTTGAAGTAATCAAAAACGATACTGACAGGATAATCATTAGCAACAAATTGTACTTGAAATGTCACCAAGTTTTGCAGGGATCTGTAATAATTTCAAGTGTATTTCAACACAAACCAACATCATTTAGAGAACCCCTGAATACCAAAGAACACTAAATGGCTGTTTCTAGCCAGCTTCCGACTCCTTATCAGTACGCAGCCACGACCGGACCAGGAATCGAACCGCAGGACTTCTTATCACGAGGTCAGCTCGTTGGGCTTTTTTCTTACCATTTTGACTCATGAGTTCTGACTTTGTCAATTTGGGATAAAGCGCTGCCTCTAACCAGTTCTATCAATAGGTATCCACTTCTTCTTGATATGATGGATCCTGGTGACCACGGTTTCTGAAAACACCCTCAGGATTTGGCTGAAATTCATAAGTCCTTGAATTTCCATTCAGGTGGCTAAATAGTCAGCGTGCTTGCCTTGTAATTCAAGTTCGATTCCTGTTCGGGTCATGGGTACTAACTGCTGAAGTAGCTCAAACTAGGACGAAACAACTCTCCAGTGCTACTTGGTTTTCTGTAACTGATTTTGATTAGTGATGAAATGTACGTTTAAGTTATACGATATCACAGTGTTCTATTAAATAAAATCATTCTATTACGGACTGTAATTTACTAGTGTTCAAAATCTATTCTTATAATAGCAGTTCATTCTGTTACATGACTTCTCTTAAAACACTAATACGCTAAGATCCGAGAGGCTTTTTAAGAAATGTGTGGGAACATGTTATATACTGTAATACTGTTGAAAAGAGTATCGCAGTTCATATGAGTAGTTAAAATACTACTCCCCCAGAGCTGTGTCAGTTGAGTCCATTTGAAAACATCACTGATGATCTCGATTTCATATTACCATCATGCTTATCTGTTTACTTTCTCGGTTAACATTTATAGTAAAAATTATATAACAAACTGTAGTCTAAATATTTTGTGCTTCCAAAATCTATAGTGATCGGTTTCTCCCAAAAATAAGTGGTTTGAAAATGGTAAATTGGATTTTAAA